GGAAAGAGAGGGAGAGAGAAATTGCCTAAACCTGTCCTCTTTTTCCTTACCCCTCTGACACAAATCCCTCAGTGTGGAGATGGCATCACTTTGTTGCTACGTGCCTGCCTTGGCCTGGTGGAGCACCTGGGGACTCAACTTCCCGCCCAGGTTACCACGTCGGGGTGGGAAGACCTATATAAATCATATCCCTATCTTTTTTTTTGTTTATTTTTGTTTTTGCGGTACGCGGGCCTCTCACTGTTGTGGCCTCTCCCGTTGCGGAGCACAGGCTCCGGACGCGCAGGCTCAGCGGCCATGGCTCATGGGCCCAGCCGCTCCGCGGCACGTGGGAGGGATCTTCCCGGACCGGGGCACGAACCCGCGTCCCCCGCATCGGCAGACGGGCTCTCAACCACTGCGCCACCAGGGAGGCCCCATATCCCTATCTTTTAAAATCCACATTCATAGCTATGAAAGTATCAGTCTATACTCGATAACCTTGTCTGCAGACAGATTCGAGTATTGGGAAAGCTTGCAGGGACGTGACTGGCGTTGACCCCCAAGGCAGGTTGGTGGTAAATGAAGAGGGACCACGGTTGAGAGTAATTCTGGCACATTTTAGGAGGTGAGACTGGGCAGGAGGTGTCTGAGGACAGAGCAAATGAGGCAGCAGCAAGAGGCCCCTGGCCTGCGAACATTTCATCCATGGCTTCCTGGCCTCAGTCTGCCGGATGTTAGGAAACGTGTACAGCCTGCTCTGAGGAACTGTTTTACCCTGACTGTAACCAAACAGTTTGGACTTGAAGAGTCTTCAGGAAAATACAGAAAATTGGAGATAAGCGTGTCTTTGAGAGGAGATAAATAAGTTATCAAAATTTAACTTGTACAAAAGTAAGGCATGAAGTATGAAACAGCCAATGTCATCGCCAGGGTGTGTCAGAGGTTACCGCGGAGGGTTACATTTGGCCCTGGGAGTCTGTCCCTGCAGCAAAAATGTTGGGTTTTGCAAATTTTAATGAAGTGGCAGCTGCAACACTTGGAGAAAAAGGCCCCAACACTTTTCTCTCTGTTTAACATTGCTGAAATCTGCTCATTTCTAAAACCAAGTCCAGTTCAGCAAAAGAAGCTAAGAGCTTCTCAGGACACCAATATGGTGACTTTTTGCAGTGACCTAATGGCTCACCATAAAAAGACATAAAGAAAACTAAAATCTGCTATCATCCTGATATAGTAAAACATGAAGAAAACGTGACCAAATGTTTAATTTTCCTATTTTAAAAATTGAGCAACTGAATAATGTTTTAGACATTTACCACCATGCCAGGCAATGTTCTAAGTAGGAATTAATTTATTAAATCTTCAGAATAGCCGTAAGAGGTAAATTCTGTTATCGTCCCCATTTTACAGATGAGAAAAACTGCCAGATCAGAGGATAGAGGAAAGGCCTGCTCAAGGTCTGGGAGAAACCACTAGACTATGAAAAATATTAAGTGTACATTTAGCAATCTATTTATCATTCACTATCTGGAAAAATGCATCACAGTAGGTAGGAAAGCGTGGGTAAGATAAAGTGACTTCCGGGAGGCAGGTTCCCCAGAAAAGGGGCACAGATGCCACCTACCTCCAAGACTTGAAAGCGCTGATAGATGTAGTGCACCATGGCCGGGTCCTGGGCGAACTGCGGCAGGGGCAGAAAGGCCGTGAGGATCAGAACGCTGAAAGCAGAAGCTCGCCTAAGAGCCAGCATGGTCCTGCAAACCACCCAGGGTGGGAATCTCTTCTGCTGTTGCCTCTCGAAGAAGGCTCAAGGGTCCAGGTGGTGGTCTCCTGCTTTCTAGCCGCTGCTGAGAAAAATTCTCCAAAAACAGCCAGACAGCAAAGTCTGTTAGTTACTCCCTCCCTCAGATGCGTGATCCTGCTTAGCAAGCTGGTGATCAAGTCCAGCTGTTAGCAAGTCAGTCTCCGGAGGCCCTGCAGGCCAACTTGGGGTAGAGGTCTCCCTGGGTCCAGCATCTGTCGCTATCACCTTTGACACACACGGACCCTCTGCAGGCTAGTGGCTGTCCCCTCTTCCAGGCCTGGGTGAGTGTGCATAGGGGTGGGATGGGGGGCGGGGTGGGCCTCTCCCCTCTCCCCTCTCCCCAGCTCTTTCCTTTTTACTCTTGTTTTCTTCCTCCCTAGAGAACTCTGCAGTCCAATCACAGGCCTGACCCAACACACACACCACCCCCAGCTTCTCAGAGTTGGACTCTCAGTTCAGTTTCTGGCCCAGATTCCCGGGATCCTTTTCCCCAGAAATCCCTTTGGGAGACCCCACCCCTCCTCCAGACTCTTTGCATTCCTGCAGCTCTTAAAGGCATAGCAAGGAAAAATGAAAGCATTCCTGCAGCTCTTAAAGGCACAGCAAGGAAAAATGAAAGCTCTGATATACCCAGTCTCTGAGCAGCCTGGGCACTGGGCCCATTGCCTCTTGGGGAGAGAGGTCCAATGGGCCACAGGCCTAGCCACCCAGGGAGATAGCTGAAAAATCTGAGATTCACGCTCAGAAGAGTTTCATTAAGAGCCAAACAATTACTGATACAGGGGCATTTCCAGAGCCAAACCATCAGGAAATGGAACTCCTTAGCGGGGAGGTCCTTGAGTTTTCTCAGTCTCCAGTAGCAGAATTCCCTTCACTTGCAGCTGCAGGCTAGCAATACATAGGACTCAACTCCTGCAGGCCCCAGTCCGGCTGAAGATAAATCACATCCTTAGGACGCAATTGTAAAATCTTCCAATTTTTGGCCTTTGCCGTCCAGGTCTACTTATCTCAACCTCTCCTGCCATGGTTGGGTCCAGATACTCACGGTTCTTTCTCAATCACCTACCAAAGTGGAGAACGTTGGGCCATCTACGAGAAGTGGAAAGATCTCTGACCAGGAGTCAGAAGACCTGGGTTTGTATTTGGTCCCTGCAAGAGACACTAAAAGAATTTTCCAGTGTGGCCCTTGCATGTCCTTGTCCCCATTAGCTATTCCTCTCTACCTCGCTTCCAAGTGACGTCAGCCCCTAACTGTTCCTTCCCACCCTCTTGGTATCATCACAGACAATGGCTCATCATCCTTAAGAACAATTCCTCCTATTTCCAAGAACTGTCTTTGATGACATTCAGCCCTCTGTATCTGCAGATGTGGAGGGCCAAGTGTACTAAGCCATTTTACATAAGGAAGGTGAACATCGCAGGATTTTGGTATCTTCAGGATGCGGGGGTAGGGGATGGGGGATGGGGCAGTCCTGGACCGAATTCCCCGCGGATATCAAGGGGCAACGGTATTCCCCAATCTAGGTGAACTTCTGCTGATCCCTCCTCTTAAATTCTCATGAAAAATACTGCCCCACTCAGCCTCCCTCCCTGAGTGAGAATGCTCTTTTGGAAACTTTTCACGCCTGGCATTTTGGAATAAAGTGTTACGCTAAAGGTGCTCTGGTTGATTTTCTTTCTTTTAAAATCTTATTTATTTATTTATTTGGCTGCATTGGGTCTTCACTTCATTGCTGCGCGCGGGCTTTCTCTAGTTGCGGCGAGCGGGGGCTACTCTTCCTTGCAGTGCGCGGATTTCTCACTGCGGTGGCTTCTCCTGTTGCGGAGCACAGGCTCTAGGCCTGCAGGCTTCACTAGTTGTGGCATGCGGGCTGAGCAGTTGTGGCGCACGGGCTTAGTTGCTCTGCGGCATGTGGGATCTTCCCAGACCAGGGATACGAACCCGTGTCCCCTCCATTGGCAGGTGGATTCTTAACCACTGTGCCGCCAGGGAAGTCCTGGTTGATTTTCCTGATGAACTCCTTAAGTCCTAACTTTGAGACGGTGAACTAAGATGGATAAGATCCAGTGGAAGTGAAACTCACAATTAACTTTTAGGAGGCAGTATTTTCTTGGGGTAATCTTTTTCTTGGTTTTCTATAGCAGGTTACATTATTTTTACAATGAAATATACATTCAATACTAATGGCGTCTAAAGAATTATTGGAGACTCGGTGAGAACGAAGTGGGAGGCCTCATTGTAGCACATGTACTTCGGCTGTTTCCAAGGCTGCTGTTGCCCCCATGTCTCTGGAAGGGGCTCCAAAGAGCTTGGCTTCAGAGCCCTTCAGTTCAGTCCTGGCAGACGCTCCTTCTCTGCCCCACACACTCCCTTCAGTTACCTGGTTCACAGGCACAAGCCCGGTCTCTCTGCTCTAACTGCCCACACCTGGTCTTGGTTGGCAAGCTTTTACTCTTGTGACCCCAGAGGCAGCAAAGCCCACAGCTGGTTCCCCTAACCCATTAGGACTGATGAGCCATGGGGCAGGACAGAGTGGAAACCCTCATGTTCTAGTGACCAGAAGTTTCAAAAAGGAAAGTTAAACTCATTTCGGAGATAGTCACAGCTTTGACAGACATACAGTGGCCAATGGTGGCCATCTTTATTCAGAGCAGGCTTTACTCAATGGAAGGAAAAAGATGGCTTGGTGCCCCTTAGCCTGCTGTTGGGATAAAATCATCCACTTGGTTCTTTTGCCTTCCTTACATTTAACCTCTGGCCTTGACCACTGCTATAAGCTAGCTCATTAAGGAGGCCAGTGACCAAGCACAGTGACCCCTTTTCTCCTTTGCAAGTGCCTGATCCATCTGCTTTCCTGTCCCGGTGTCCTGAGAGAGAAAACTTAAGCCCTTTGACAGCTACCATTATGTCCTCAGTGCGGTTGGACCTAAGTCACTAGTCATTGAGCTGTAAGCCCAGCCCCGAGTTGGTGTTTTTCCCTAAATGACCAGTCAGAACTGGACATACGAATGTCCAGCCTAATCAGCCCACTGAGGCTGATCTCATCCAGTTTTCCAGGTCCTCTTGGAATTCACTATCTTCATTACTGGTGGTCCTTTTGCTGCTGTGCCTCCATATTAACTGACCCCCTGATTTCTAGAGCCTTCTCTGCTCCCTGCACCCTCCACTTTACTGAGGGGTGCTGGCTAACTCCAGGAAGGTCTGTGAGGAGGACACCTTGTCTTCTTAAGGAGGCAGAGGCCAAGTCAACGGAATTCCATTTGGGATACTAGAATTCATCATTTGCATCTGAACAGGATGTCTGTGTTTTTCTTCTCTTTTTTCCCCAGATTCTTCCCTTTATCTTTTATTCACCACTCCTGCCCCACACCCCACCGCCAATAGCTCTTTGCCTTAATGTCATCCTCCAATCTTCCAACCTTTTACAACTAATTGCATTGTTTCCTGCTTGAGTGATTGGAGCGGCCTCTAATTCCCTGTCCCTTTAGATAAAACATTGGCTGCTTTTATGCCAAAAGGAAAGCCCTTTAAAATGTGACCTCAGCCAACCCCTTGTGGGGAGGAAAACATTTTTCTCTGTCCTTCTGGGTTCTTCTGGCTGGTCTAAGAATTAAATCGACATGAGGCAGATTAACAAGAGAAAATCAAACAAAAATTTAAAAACACGTGTGCGTGGGAGAGACCCAGGGAAACAGAGTAACTCGCCAGAATGGCTGAAGCCCTCACCTTAAATACCTTCCTCAGCTAAAGACAAAAGAAGCTGTTGGGGTAGTGATCTGGGGCTTCAAAGGGGAGGAAGGCAATTCACATGGAGGTGGAAAAGCAAATCTTTGGTAAACAAATGTTTGCTGGTTCCTGTAGAGACAGAGGGACACAGAGAGAAATTTTAACAGACTTTGCTATGTTCCTTTCTGTCTGTCACAGCTGGTTCCTACTTTGTTATCTATAGTGATGGCTCCCTTCCCGAAGGGAAGAGGTCCTCTATCTACGTTCTTTTAGGCAGTTAGGGGGAAGGTCAAAGTTTCTTCCTGAGTCTTGGGCCTTGATTGTTTTCAACTCGAAATAATCCAAATGCCAAAGAGATTTTGGGGTGGGAAATTTTGCTCCCCTACAAAAGCAAGACATTTCTGGGGGTATACTCTCTGGAACAATACCTGTGGGGGGATGAATGGAGCATGAGTGAGCAAAGAGAGAAGTTCAACTGCAATGCAGTTGCAACAGAGGCCTCAACCAATCCCACAAGGATCTCTGGAACTAGGTGGGACCTTCAGACGTGTCCAGAGTGGAGGCAAAGGGACGATGCCTTGGCAGCCCTGCATCAAGCACTCCTTGGTGGGGGCTGTTCCTGGGAAGGGAGCGTATATAACCTTGAGTAGGGCAGCTTCCTCTGGCTGAGGACACGGCCTGGAGAAGGACTCAGCTCTGAGCTGTTAGCGGCAACACCCACACAACTGAGGGAATGAGTCTCCTTATCCTGAAGGGCAGATTTGGCCAACATGCTGCAGCACCCACTTCAGTAGGATAAGCAGAGGCCAGGCTTTGCCAAGTTTGTAAAACACACCAAACATTTTAGATGTTATGGTAAGAAGAATGAGAGACAATTAGAGTTTCAAGTAAATGAGTTACAGAAATAGGTCTGTGTTTCAAAGAGATGTCTCTGGGGCTTCCCTGGTGGCGCAGTGATTGAGAGTCCGCCTGCC